TACTCTCAGAAGGAAATTGCACACAATTTACATAGATTCAAGATTCGAGATGTTCGTATCCTGTTTCAAGAATATAATTCGTTCTTCAAAACTGCACGAGTAATTGTACACTTACAAGCATTAGTTTTGCGATATTTTATTTCCAAAGTTGCTATATCAATAAGTACCTTNTTTTAGCTGAAAACCTACAGTTTGTAAAAAACTATGTGTATTGTTGTTTTTATTTTATTTTTATCGTTGTTTTAATAAAATGTATAAATGTGATACAATAAATGATAATAACACAATGTTATTATGGAACTCTGATTTGTGATGAAAAGTAACCTTTTTCAATATTATCAGAAGTTATTTTTATCGTTGTTTTAATAAAATGTTCAAAACTTTGCACCATAATAATAATATACGTTATTGTCTTATTCTAAATTTTATCTTTGTCTCTGAAATAAGTGTGAAGGTATTTGCAGCTAAATACTACTGACTTTTTTCATCAAACTATTTTGAATAAAATGAAATTGAGAACGGAAGTTTCTCCCTTGACGGGAAACGCCGGATTAAAAATCTCAACAATGAATTGTAGATATGAATCCGAGAACAATGAATTCGATTAGATAAAGTTACGATTTCTAATTATGAACTGAGTGATGATATGCGATGCCATGACTGGATCGAACCAATATTTTCAGATTCAATTGATAAATCGATAAATGACATCGATTTCATTAAAAAATACTCTAGCGAATTTTCAATTTGTCGAAAAAATTTTTAGAAAAGCCTACAAATTTGACATTTGCTTAAAAATATATCACTGTGTTTATTCACGAATTTATCTTAAATATTTCTGGAATGCTAAATTGATAATTAGGATTGAAGACATAAATTGGATGAAATGCTTGGTCACCAGGTATATGAAGAAATACAAAGGAATTGTAAAACAAGTTGGCGGTGAACTCAGAGGTGAAAGAGAATTACTGAATCATTACCAAATATTCCAAGGTCGTCTGAATAGGTTAATAGATCTTAACATGAATAATTACCCCCATCTCATCGTTTAGAAAGTGAGATTGCTAAATATTTTGCGGAATTCCAGAAATTTTAATTTATTTCGTTCACTTATTAGAGTGCATAGAAACTTGGTATATTTCGAAGATTTACTACATGGTGTCGGAAGAATAATCTATCTCTCAACATTACCAATTGTAATGTGACGTCTTACTTACTGAAAACGAACTTGACTTGACAAGGACTACAGTTCAAACATTTAAAATAAAGTCATGCATTTATTACTGGATTACTTTCCCATTGTTAAATTGATCATTAGAAAAAATATAAAATAATTATTTAATTTCTACTTTTACTAGATATCAATTAAATTTATTTTCTAAGCGCACATCTTTCAGATTCTGTCCGTTAGAATTTAGAATAAGATATTCTCTAATAGTTTTTTGTAAAAAAGTTACATTACAAAACATAATGTATGTGAAACTTGGATCTGAAGCACAATATTTATCTGTCATTGATTATTTGGCAACATGATAATTTTGGACATATATTTTGTTTTCTGAATTTTTTGTATGGCGTTTATGAATTTTGAACAAAATCTTTCAGTGCTCAAAACTCAATATATGTACTTTTTTACAAAAAACTATTCGAGCATATCTTATTCTACGAAACCCTTCTTCACTTGGAAGGATCGATCGCAGCTTGAGAAATGGTTCTTATGGAGATTCTGTGAAACATGTTCTTCCTTACGAATCAATAGATAGTTGTCCTGAAAATCTAGAGAAGAAAATTGGATTGGATAATTTAGGAAACACTTGCTACATGAATAGCATTTTACAAGTGTTGTTCATGACGAAGAATTTCAAGAACGAAGTTTTAATGATGAACGAGAACGGGAATGTTTCCT